GGTCTTTGAGCCTACCTTTAACCACACAGCAAAGCACAGAAGAAAATAATTAAGTGGACTAATCCAAGGATTGTCCATTACTAATTGGTGCAATTAGCCCATTTCCCTAGCCTAATCACTAAACCAGGAGCAACTGAGCCACCTTCCTTAAAAAAGAAAACACAGAAACACATACAAAATAAGCCAGAAAGAACTCGAGCAGAAGAAGGTGATAGCCATACAAGACAGAAATAACAAGAAAGAGAACAAAACTATCTTCCACTTTCACCTCTATTACACAGAAAATTCTTTTGCTGGTCAATAGATACCAGATCACAGAGGCGGATAAGAGGGGGGAAAAGCCAAACTGAAAAACAACTGATTGGACAGAAAAATGAAGTAGAAATATGATTAAGTATCTCACTAACAGACAGCAGACACCTCCCAGCTGCATCATATACAACCTCTGAGAGCCAGTCTCTTTGCCTTTGCAGCAGTCAAAAAAAAATCTGTCAACACAGCTCCTCTCTAGCAGAATATTATGATCAAGCTCAGCTGGCATGAATTAACACCAGTATGGATTTCCCCCCCTGCACTAAACCACTCCTTTACCCAAATCTCCATGACCTCTGCTCCTGCCTCAAATCAAAGTATTGAACACACACTAACAGAAGTAGGATGGCTATATTTACTGCAGTTATGTAGGAAACCATGCTAAACCAGAATGAAAGTTCATTTGTGAATAGATTTCATTTATCACAGAAAAAATTATACATTATAAACCTTTTGGTTGCTCAATTTCAATGCATGGTAAATTTAGAGACTCTAGTTATCTCGTAAGGAACCATTTCTCTTTATATAATATTTGTTCTACATTATTATTTCCAGACAAAAGAAACACTGGAAGACTTGTATGGGACCAATGCATGAACAGAGTAAATTTTTTACAGTTTCAGTTAATTTCAAGATGCAGCAAGCCTGTAGAATAGGTAGGTGACTAAATGCCTGGTATACCCAGCCATATCCAGCAGTGTTATATTAACACAACTCACACACTGAAAATTAACTCCTAAAGTAAAGAGAGAAGGTGGTTCCGGTTCACCAAAGAAATGACAATAGGGAGCATACTGATAAAGTCTGAGATTATCCTATAGAGTTATATTCTCCTTTTGAGTTGTCAAAATATATAACAAGCATTGCTAATAAACACAGAAACAATCTTGACAGCTTTTGGATGTTGGATAGAAATTAATTTGAGCTACATATTCTAGGAAATTAAATCTATTCATCCATTCTCATCCATTACTATTCAGCCTCTGCGCTCCATCAGTCCAGTTAAAGTCTAGAGATAAAATATGAATGTATAAATGTAATTAATTATTCCGCTTCTCTTTAGCACTACAAAAAACTTAAATTAACTTATTTTTTCTACAGTATTAAAGATTTCCTTCCTACATAATTACTTTTTTTCTACTTCAGTATTAAAGATTTCCTTCCTACATAATTAACCCGTAAGGCTATTTCCACAAAAGGCAACCAGTTACGAGAGAGGAAAATACTGAGAATGAATAAATTATTATAAGAATTTTATCACTCAGATTGGAAACCCACAGCATTTTAAGGATAACCACATTCATAATGATCATATTATACATCTATAAACATCACCTTTCAGCTCTGTTCAATGATTTGTTCAGCCATGAATTACTCACCGCATGTTCTGTGCTCTCTCAAAGGAAATTCCTCTTCTACAAGGAGTTTTTAGAAAGTATCAGTTTTGGTTAATTGCATTAAAAAGTGTGTAGTTTACTCTAAAAATCTTCTTTTTTTATTACTGTATAATTTGTTGGGATGGGTCTGATTTTAAAGGCTTAAAATAAGAATTGAACATGGTAGAATCACAGAATAATTTCAGTTAGAGGGACTTCTGAACATCACCTAACCCAATTCCCTGCACAAAGCAGTGCCAACTTCAAAATTAGATCAGGTTATTCAATACCATGCCCAGTCAAATTCTGAGCATCCCCAGGGATGGAGAAACATTAAGAAATTCAATCATCCTCACTGGGAATAATTTTATTCCTTGCATCTGGTCAGAATTTACCTTGCTGCAATTTGCAAGTGTTGTCACTCATCCTAATATTTTGCAACTGGAAGATTTCAACTGTCTTCTCCATAAGCCCCATTTAGATGGCTGGAGACAGCAATTAGATTCCTCCAGCCCCAACCCCCAGGTCTTCTCTTCCCCAGGCAGAACAAATCCAGTTCCCTCAACATCTCCCCACCTGTAATGTGCTCCAGCCTCCTAATCACCTCAATGGCCTTCCACAGCACTTAGCTGCTGTTTCTCAATGTCTTTCTTCTACGGGTGAGCCTAATTTGGATAATATCACAATTGCCAAATAAAGGAGAGCAACAGCTTCTCTTGACCTGCTGACTGCACGCTTGCAATTTGTAGTTTTCCTTGCTGTTTTTGCAGGTGAGCATGACATGACTTTTGCAGTCACCAGAGGTGTTCCCCAGAAACCATGAGTTTCTGGCTCACAGAACCAGAATCAAGGTCAAGAAATCAAGGTCACAGATTTTATTTATTTAGGTTATCTATTCTATTACCACAATAGGTACAACTAGGCTGACGTCCTCCAATAACACCTCTACAGAAAAGTTTTTCTGCCCAATAAGAATACCAGAAAGCTGATCGTAGACATTTAATTTTTTTACTACATTGGTGTTATTATGGTGTTGCTCAGTATTTGTGTTCTGTTTTGCTTGAACTATGCCATGGCTGACCTTAAAACAAAGCTATGAAAAACAAACCTGTTATGAAAGGTTTCAGTAGACTTTAGTGGAAATTCCCATTTCAGTAGGATTTCTGAGGGAACAAAACAATTCTAAAACAACAGAGGAAGGTCACAAGGCTACTCCAGAGAAACATAATGTGAAAACAATGAAAAATAGCTGAATTAGTTGAATCGTGGTTAAATTTGTATTTTCTAATTGGGATTACTGGGTAGGTAAAAAGGGAAAGAGGGGTCTCATGGCACTATCTGCATTAAATCACTGAAAATAAATTAAAAAAAAAATTAAAAGGTGGTCACCAGGAGTTTTAATGCCATCCAAAATTATAAATAGGCTTCCTAGAGAAAGTTTCCAAAACTATATTCCATTTGGGGCACCTGTGCCTAAGTCTTTGGATCAGAAAACCACACTCATAGCAAAGGTGATGTTTCATTGACTTGTGAAAGTATAAATTATGCAGAAAAAGGGATCAAAACTCCATGATAAGCCTGCAACATAGTCCTTATGTCATTCTCATGGGAGCACACAGGTGTGTAAACACCTTCCCTTCTCAAATCTTTCTGTAAAGGAAGCCAAGAGTCACAGAGCAGACACTGTACTCTGCATGGTGGAGTATTGTTTCCTATATATTATGTAGCTAGTAGTACAGAATAAAATAAAGACAGAGCACTAGAAACCACAATGAAGCAAAGCTGCTCTTCTTTGCTTGTACTTTTATCTATTTACTCATTAATTTATTTGCTTGGATTGTTATATTTGTAGTATCCTGCTAATCTAGGTAATTATGCATCAGATTATAGGACAATCAGAGCCAGATTTGTTTATCTCTCACTCCACGCTGTTATCTTAGAGATGTTCAACAGTTTTAACAAATTATTTGCCAAAAGATGTGTGTTATTAATAGCAATTATTAGTAATTGCTATTAATGTATGTGGTCAGTACTGCTGGTAACACCCCAAAAGAAGTTGTTTACACTTCTAATTTAAGAGATACAAAATTTTATCAAACGGACTACAAGCTCCTAGAACTCAATCTCATTTAACAAATGACAAAAAAAATAAAACTGAAGCGAGATTGCTTTTTGCAAACACAGGACAATCGGGAATCCTGAATTACCCTCTCAAAAAAGATCGCTGCCCCGGGGTTATATTCAAGTCTAGCGCTTCAGCTCGGTACCCACGCCCCGTGAAGGACTCCTTTTCGTGGCAAGATGAAGAGCATCACCTGACAACCGGGCGGACAGCCCCCGGGACCGGGGGGGCGGTGGATGCTGAGCTCTCAGACCCTCAGCACCACAAGCAGATGCCACCTAGAGCTGGGACTTCTCCCTCACTTTGCTGCTCTGCCACCGCCGGGAGGAGCCGTGATTTCAGCTAAAAAAAACCTCACAAACCTCTTTCCCCGTGGTCCAGCTCCCCACTTTTCAAAGCATCCTCTCTGCCGTTCCTGTCACCTCCTAGATCAAGACGGCCACGCGTTTAACTTCCAAGGATCAAGCAAAGAAGAGGCACCGCCATCCCCCGCCTGCACGAAGCCGGGACCCGCATCCCCCCCGCCCCACACCCCC